GAGGGAGGGAGGGAAGGGAGGCGTGATGCGATGCTACACCTACAGCCGCGGCTATGCCCACTGCCACCACCACCACCAGGCCATCGATCCGCCGGCGCCGCTCCAGGGCCTTCTCTTGCCTTCGCCCGTCTGCGTCTGATGCTGCTGCTACTACTACTACTGCTGCTGCTGCTAATGCTGCTGCAGGCGGGTGGTGTGTGGCTGCACGTCCAATGCAAGTGAGGATGCCGCATGGCCTTTAGCGCGTTTGGCGGACCGTCGCCGTCGTCGCTGCATGGGGCGGGCAGGGATAAAAACGCCATCCTAGTAGAAGCGGCGAGAAGGTTGAGTTCTCGGGCACGCGGTGGGTAGTGTAATAGCGGCCGCTCCAACCTGAATCTCCTTTTTCGCTTCCACGCTCTTGGGTCCCGTCTCCTCCACGCGCTTCGAGAAGCCTTCACCTCCACAGCCTTTCCCTCAACCTACGACAGCCCCCTTCGCAAGCTGACGCACCCCCGACCCCAAGACACGTCCAACCAGCCCAGTCGCCCACCGCCCTTGTCCTGTGTGCACAACCCCCCTCGCCCCATTCCTCCGATCCGCCCACCTCGGCTTGGCTCTGCAACAAGTGCCCAATTTGCTCTGCCTTCTCTTCTCACCTGCAGCAACAGCCGACCTTGCGGCCCGCTTGCCAGTATTTTGTGACACCTCACCCGCCCCAGAGGATCTCCCGCACCACCAGACCAAAACCAACGTCTCTCCCACTTCCTTTGACGTCGAGGCTGGCCCATCTGTGTGTTGCACTGGTCAAGAGCGGCGTGTGATTGACAGGCACCACGTTGTGCCCGCCATCGAATTAGACGGCCCGCACACACACTCTCTCACACACACTCACACTCACCGCACACACACACATACGCTCTCTCCTTCTCCTTCTCCCTCTCCCTCGCGCACACACACACACACTCTCTCTCTCTCTGCCTCTCTTACTCACATTCACCCACCTACACAATCTCGCCTACCGTTACCGCCACTCGTCCGCGAGCAATGTTCCCTCACCAGGGTGGCCAAGGCCAGCTTCCCACCCACTGGCAGCCGCCTACCTCGCAGCAGCCTGCGAATGGCTCTTATGCGCCGCCTCCCCATGTAAGTCGCTCTTGTGCTCGCTCGTCCTCTCTTGCCTGTTACGCGAGCCTTGCAAATCAGCACTGGTAGTGCCCACGTCATCTCGTCTTCTGGGTGACAGCTTGCTGACATTTGACGTCAACCCAGATGAACACCACGCTTCCTCCTCCACCGCCCCAAGAGCCACGACCCGACATGGCTCAACATCCTCAATATCAGCACCCGCACCCCCAGCCCTACCGTCTCCCAGGTCCCAATGAGTGGACGCGTGCTCCTCCTCCACCAGATCCATACCGCCAGCAGCCTCCTCCACCACCGCAATATGTCCAGCAGCACCACCAGCCGCCAGCTCCTCGCCAGCGCACTGCCATTGCCTGCCGGTACTGCAGACGCCGCAAGGTACTTGATCGCCCAACGCAATGCATCGAGATAACATAGCTTACCCTGACCCATAGATTCGATGCTCGGGCTTCGAGGCGACAGAGGACGGCCGCTGCTCCAACTGTATGAGGTTCAACCAAGATTGCATCTTCACACCCGTTTCCGCACAGACTCAGGCTTTTGTTCCTGCCCACACCGTCTGGCGAGGTGTTGGCCAACCGCCACCCATGTATGGCGCCTATGGCCAGCCTCTTCCTCCTGCTAGCCATGGTGAGCCCTATGGCCAGCCGGCGCGTCCGCAGCAATATCTGCCCAGCCCAACTGCAGGTCCGTACCAAGCTCATTCTGAATATGGTCCACCAGGTGCTTCACCAGATGAGGCAAGCCGTGACGCCATGGCTGGCAGGAAGAGGCTCCACCCAGAGCCTCACACTCCAACCTTGCCTCCGCCACATCCTGGCTCAGCGTCACAGGCTCCTCATCGAGGCACAGGACCAGAGTATGCCTACCCAGAGCCACCATCTCTAACATCGGCTGCTCCAACAGCAAACCCACCAACCGCATATTCGTCTGGTCCTCCACCCGCCCAACCCTACTACGCCGCACAACCGCCGCGCCAGGGCTCCCCACAGAGCGCTTATCGCTACGAGCCAAGTCGCAATTCGTCTTCGCCACATTCACAAGCGCCCACGACGCCCGGTGCTCCGCCCACACCCTACTACGGCGCTCCTCCTCAAACAAACGGTGTTCTACAGCCTCCACCACCCCGCAGCGATGGCCGCACGCCACCACCGCCCACATCGCAAGCTTCGGCAAGGCCGAGCATGCGTATTAACGACCTAGTAACCGACAATGGCCCGGCTCGCAGCTCGACCGACTCGTCCATGCTCAATATGCTCAATCGCCGACCCATGTAAATCTTTTGTCTCGAATCAGAGGCAATGCTCTGAAGCTGGTCTTTCGAGAGCGCTACACACAACCTGGATCAAGCAAAGGGAAAAATTACAGCAAAATATTTCGATTGATTGCGACACGACCTTTACTCGATTTCCTCGTGTAACAACCTTTCTTCCTGTCCTGTCGACATCTGCTATCGCAAGGAGTTCTGGCTGGTAACAGCATGCTTTCTGGGCGGAATTCTGCTTTTAAACGGCGATAAAGAGCATCGAGACTTTTCTATTTAATACTGAAAGATCTACCTCACTGTCATTTCCGGGGTTTGTTTTTTGTTTTTTGTTTTCTCTGTTTTCCTATCATCTCGAGTGCGGAGGTTGCTAATCTGACAATGTGCGCGCTCATTCGGGTCCCTCGGAGTGAGTGTAGCATATTTTTAACGTTTGGCGGCAAGCGCTCGATTCCGGCTGTTCTGTTTGAACATAAGCTACTAAACTGGGTGGTATTCTGTCTTTTCCTGCAAGCTTTTAGAACTGGAGGGTTGCATTATGTCACGGAGGCTTGGTTGATAGTGGCATCATCTCAAGGCCTGGGTCGAACCAGCTCTTTACGTGCTTCACTGCATTGGCTGGGGTAGTGGTAGTTTGTGCTTTTTTGTACATGTTTGTTACGGTTCATGTTATCCATTTAGGTGCGGTTGCTATATTCCCCTTCTTCTAACTGTCTCTACCGCATTCTAAACTTCTCTCTATTCTGTCTGGGATCTTTCTCACTGGTGGGCGGCTATCTGAATTTTTACTCGCAAAGACACGTCCAAAGGCAAATGGGTCATCAGCAGCAACGTTATGTAGTACTTGTTTTTCTTGGTTTTTTACTCTTGTTACGTTTTGGACTAGCTATCTAAATTGAAGACGTTTGATGGTGTAATGCTTACTGGGCTTTGGTTGTCTTGGTCAACGGTGAAGAGTATGTCTTCCTTTGCGTGTCAGCTTACACTAACGTTGCTACTACCATGTATGTAACCACCACTACCATGCTGAGTCACATTCATTTGGGGGAGGGGGGGGGAAGAGAACGTGGTGTACTTACATTTGGTTGCACACCAACATAAGCACGAGCAACGCAGGGTCGATCCGAGTACGAGGACGGATACGCACGTGTAGTGCCTTCCTTTTCCGTGTATACCGCTTCCCACCCCCCACAGAAGAGAAAAGTAACCACCCGCCACGGACAGCTTGGACCACACACTTCGCACTTGTTCTGCTCATTCTCATTCCGGCACCCGGTTCTCGATCGATCCAAGTACCAGGGAAACTGGACATGTCTTGCAGCTCGACTGTCCATCGTACCAGGCCTCTCTGCTCATTACACGCATGACTGGCACAACTGACACCCGATGGTCGCACCAGCCTGTGCGTCCGGCAGCCGCCACACTCATCACGCCAGACAAACGCTATTGATCAGAAAAGTCCTCAAGCCGCGATTCCGTATCGGGATCTTTCGGCAACGATAACTGCTCGGTCAAGCCATTTGACACCGGTACGGCACGGAGCGTCCAGCCGGTCGACTGCGAGTGCGAGCGCGATGCTGCTCGAGTTGCATCGAGATTCACATCATTGGGCTTGGTTCAGCGCCGCACTATTACATGGTACAGAGATATGGGCCTGATGCATTGTACGGTAGCAGTACCGCCGTCGCCATCTAGTCTGGAGGGGGTGATTGCTTCTGACAACTGGAAGGGCACGGGAAGAGGCGCTATGGCGCTTGGAGCAGAGGGTTGTCAGATGCAGGGAAGACAAAGGACCTTGTTGGTCCTGAGCTTTAGTGTACCGACGTCTTGTGGCGTTGGTGTGTCTGTGTCGGGCGGCCAGATGATGATCCGGTCATGTCAAGTCAACGCTTGGTGGCGCTATCACAATCTTTCTACTACTATCCATGGCCGAGGCCAACCAAAGCAAGTACGGAAAGGTTACGTTTTGTCTTCCCGTCGGCTGCCGGCGTGCACATGATCAGCCCATGAAGCGAACCAGCCGTGTAGTACATGTATGTGCTATTACGGCTGTCGAATTGAGGGGGTTTCTAACATTACTAGCTAGATGGGGCTCGCTATTGTAGCGTACAATAACCTTCATCCAACACATTCTAAGTGGATTAACGGAACGGAGCGAGAAGCAAAGTTTGAGCCGCGATGCTACTAGGACAAGTCGGCAGCCGTCATAGGGCGTCCAACAAATACCTAAAGTACTTGGCCGAGCACAAGATGCAGGGCAATTCCCCACTGACCCAAGAACGAATACGACTTCAATACATGAATGCCGCACTCGCAAACGACGATTTGTTCGCTCTGCAGCTATAGCTGTTTGTCGAGCCGAAAAGAAGAATTCGAAAACTGACATCAGGTGAAAGGAGCATACGCCGGAGCACACGACTAGAATTCATTGCCCTGACAATCCTTTCCTCCGAAAGTGAAACAGAAACTTGTTCCCACGCAAGGAGCTATTATAGAGGCCAGGTTCAAGGTTCTTCCTGTCTGACTTGATCTTGGTTGCTGGGCTCCGTTGGGTTTATTGATTCCGTGAGATGGGCAAGAAGGATTGGCAAGGGTACGTAGACGGACCTGTCACGATTCGCTTTCAGCCTGTTCTCCGTTTCAGGCACGAACCGCAACGGCCCAGCACCCTTTCCCATTCCCTCTCCCGCAGCACGCGCACACACGGGGCCGCATCACTCAAGTCTACACGTGAAATGTCTCGAACCTGGTATCAGACCCGTGTATTCCGAGGCCCCCCGCATACTTATCATACAAACAATCCTTCCTCGGAACTACCCATTGGGGACAATGACATGGGGCGTTCCCACTGCAAGCGAAAAAGCAATGAAAAACGACGTTTGGGGCAAGGGCTTGTCACGGGACGGTGCGGGACACAAGGAATGGGAAGCACGTTTCGAGCATGGGGCCGTCGGCCGCCGCCATGTGTTGTGTCGCGCAAACTGAGTCAGAAAAAGAGGCTATCATAGGCTAGAGACCCTGTCCTTGCTCTCTCCAATCTCACGCCTCAGCTTAGCCCATCACTAGTGTACCGCTCTTTTTCCTTTCCGATCTTTTTTTTCCTCTTCTCTTTTTCAGCTTTGGTTCGGAGCGTGCAGGTCCGAAATACACACTGTGCGCTGTCCTGGCCAGTACTTAGACCAGGTAGTGCCTTGGTCATTCGCTCGAGCAAAAAATCTTACCGATGGATTCCTGGCTGTGTGAGAGATGAGGGTGAGCTACATGATGGATTGTCGGAGGAGCGGAGCGAGAGACGGCGACTTCCACCACACTTCCCCCCAAGAGGAACCGACCCATGTTACGTACTTCCATACTATTCCTGTTGCTTTCATCACATCCATGGCAGTAACGTCAACCGCGCCACGGTGGTATTTGCGGCAAAAAGAGCCAAGGCACGCACGCATATCGCGTGGCCATCCGTAGGTCTCCCCCTTCCCTTCCTTCCACCCTTGTCTCTTCTATCCAATCGCTCGTCCGTTCAAGTGCGCAAAGGAATAAGACCCTGGACCCATTTCTTCCGTGCGTTCTCACGGTGGCACCCCCCCTTGACCAAGCACAGGAAGCAACCGCAGGACATGTGCCTGTCTGTATCCGATGCGATGCCGAATGCCACGTATCGTTGGGGCCCTCTTAATGTCATCATCATCCACTTCTGTTCCGTTGTCCGGCCGCGACAGCCGTACATATGCATTGATGAGTCTTCAAACTGCCGGTATACGGAGGACCCCAAGATCTTGCTAAACAAAACCCACATTGAACAATAAGGTCGAGCGAGCGGGAAGTTAATCATGGGAAAGCGAAAGTCAGTTTAGCAAGTGAATCCCGCTTAACACTGCTGCTGCTACTGCCGCCATCAAAGGAAAAAAAACGTCTCCCCAGCTTATCCCTTGCACACCACTAGCTTCTGGCACATAAGCCACAGACAGGCACTCGCAGTCACATTTCCTTCTCCCTATGTGCCAACATGTCCAATCTGAGACTCTCACCTGAACGTTCTTCCTTTTCCCTTTCAGCTTACACTACGGCAAACGCCTTTTTTTTTTAATGCGCAGGCCAATAGCAACACCAGCGCCTAACCTTCTCAGCAAATGCACATGACTTGTGGTGCCCATATTCCATTCCGCAGCCAAGTCACAGGCACCACGCCAAGTCCCTGAGTAAGCTGGAGGGGAAAAAGAACAAGAAGCAAGAAAGACGAGAAAGAAGGAAGAAACGCCATGACGAGCGGTGAGCGTACCCGACGCTACCATCTTTTTCCTGATTCCCCCCCTCCCTTCCCTCCTGTGATCCTCTCCTCTCCATCCACCAAAAACAATAAATCAAACTCTGATAACGCCCGCCCTCTCCTCCTCCCTTCCCTTCCCTTCTTCCCCCCACCCCACTAGCCGCGCAACGTCACCGCAGCCCCATCCACCAAAATCCCTCCTTTCCCTCAATGGAACCCACTTTTTGTGCCCTCGCAAACAAGAAAACTAAAAGCACTAGCGTACCGTATCTCGTGCATCGGAAAAGAGCCTAGCGCCCGGCTTTGCCTCCCCCCCCCCCTTTCCCTTTCCCCTCACCAAGACAGCAGAAAAAATGGACGCCACATAGGCGCGTGGTAAGTTGGTAGCTGAAAGGATTTTTTTTGTTTTACACTTTCTATTTGCTCTTACTTTCTTTACGGTAGGTAAGTAGAGAAGTGGGGAAAGGGTCTAGATGGGGGCCGGACGGTCCATTTCTGCCTCTCGGCTTGTAGTCGCGCCAGAGCCAGATCTAAGAATGCCTTTTTTTTTAACACCTAGTAGCTCTAGTAGGTAGAGGCAGCGGAAGGACACAAAGCAAAGTAGAGTAAAGCAAAAATAAAATATTGAGCACTGGCTCTTTGATTTCGATTTTTTTTTTGCGTTGCTTTGCTTTGCTTTGGTGGCTTGCGCTGCGCTGCGGGCAAGTGGGGAGGCGGGTGGGGTGGCTTGCGTGCCGTGAGTGCGTATGTAATGTGTTATGCGGACTTGGACTGGGTTTGTTTTATTGAAGGTGGAGGGTTGAATGTGGGGAGGGGGGTTGCTGGGTTTCCTTACCTGGTGCTATGGAGGCAAGGGGTTGGGGGAGAGGGAGGGGGGAAGACGGGGCGCGTGTTTTAGAGTTTCTTGGAGGTTGGGTTGGGGTTGGGGCGGCGGAGAGAGAGAGCGAGGCCGGTACTGGGGTTGTTGTTGTCGTTCTTGTTGTTGTTGTTGTTGTTGGCGTCATGTTTGCGTAGGTTGGGGGGGATTATTTCCGTGTTAGATTTTTTTTATTGTTGTTTGTTTTGCTTTTCTGGGGAAAGAGAGTATGTGTTGGGCGGATATATCCCTTGGGGTGTTTCTTTGATTGGATTGGTGACGTAGGCGTTGGAGGAAGTTGGGTTTGTTGGATGAAGAGTGTGGTAGTGCTTGCCGGGGCTGTGGTCGGTGCGTATGGGGGGTTAGGTACTTTTGTAAAGTAGTTCTCTTCAAGTATCGTTCACACATGACGAGTTTTTAATATTGATTTTCAGGCACAACATCGTGGGTGCGTCATTTGTGGCAGGTGAGGATCGGTTCGACATACTCATTCTGAACAAAAGACTTTACACTCCAACCCCCCCCTCCCCCCAGTTCATCGGAATTAAAGTTTTTGTTTCTCCGTATCTGTGTTCAAAACTATGGAAACCACAAGGTTTTCGTTGAGTATATCGTTTACCTAAAAACCTAAAGCATAAGCCAGAAAGGAAAGATGGGGGGAAACTCAGTTCAAGAACCTAATATTGCTCTTAAACTCACCAATCAACTCAGTAATGATCTACGAAAAAAAGGGTAAAAATCACTATCTACACTTTTCCTTTCCATCTCAGAATGGAAAGGAAAAATAAACCCCCCTTCCCCCCGAAATCACAAAGAAACTTCAAACCATCGCACCGTGTCCCGTTCCCACCCCTCTCCCGCAAAAAAAAGAACTCTACGTTATCGTTCTGCAATCTAAAAAAAAACATCACAGATATGACAAAGAGTAAGTAAGAGAGAAAACAATGTGAACAAAAGACTCCGCAACCGAACCATCCCCCCCTTTCCCAAACGGTTGATGTAACCGTTCATCCAAACTTTTGAGAAAACAAAGGAAAAAAAAGAATTTCAAAAACTTCAACGTCTCTTGAAGACATCACACGTCCAAACTGTGATAACCCCGGGCTTCACACCGCGCCAAGTCGCCCGCAACCGAGTAAAGATTGCATTTCGCCTCCTTCTCCTCCTCTGATGACGTGCGTTAGCAAGCGATCTCGTCCTACTATCCGCCGCCGTAGTCGTAGTGTCTGTGATTACCGGCAGCGGCCGCGATAGCTGCAGCGGTGACGGTGATGGTGACGGTGGTAGACGACCAACCGTAATCCCCGAGACACGTCTCGAGTGCGAGACCAAATTCGGCGGACCCGGGTTCGGGGGCCAGATATTCTCGGTAGGACCGGGATCTAGATACGGGATTCGGGAGAGAAGGCTATTTGGGGGTGGGGGGAAGAGGGTTAGGCCAGGGGTATTAGTGCTGGAGTCTTGACGGTCGTCGTTTTCGTCGTAGTAGCCGGCTAGGGGGTTGTAGTGGGCGTGTGAGGAGGGATCTTGTTGTTCATGATGATGGGGGTGGTGAGCGAGGTATTCGCGGTCGCGAGAGGAGGCGAGGCTGGAAGTGTGTGTTGCGTTTGAAGGGGTGCGGCCGAGGGGTTCGCAGAGCCACCAGTCTATTACGTAGTCGTCTTCTTCCTGCTGGGCATCGCGGAGGCTGTCGATTCGTGAGCGGTGCGAGGAGAGTGAGGTTCGGCTGCTTGGTGGGGGTAAGGTGCTGACGCTGGTGAGCTGGGAGCCGGGAGCATCGTCAGCCATGCGGCCGAGCGATGGGCGAGCGCTTCTACTACTAGAGAAATTGTCGTCCGCGCCATTGGTAATTGTGGTGTTCTGAGGCACATGATGGTTCCGGTGTGTAGGTACTAAGGCAGTGTTGTTAGTGTATTCATTTGAGGCATCGCTATCCATGTAATCCCCGGGGAGTACGGGAGCACCATTATAGCAGATTTCGTTAGAGACATGACCAGACATACCATTTCGAAGAACATGACCACTCACGTCTCCGGATTCGATAAAGTCCCCATTGAATTCTCCATCCGAGGTGCCATCTTCCCTGTGACCTTGTGTTGCGGGAGCGCCATTATAGTGAGGTTCGTCTGAGCCGTTGACAACCGCACTGTTTGGAGCCATGTGATTTTCCAAGTTATCCGTGTCGGCAGAATTCCTATTGGTATTTTCATACGAGGCATCAGCAGGCTGATCGCTTAGACCTCCTTGGATATCGACCCGGTATAGGGAATCGTCTCTATCCGATGATTGGTCCGAGACATTATCATTTCCACCAACCCTGTGGGTTCCGGAATCGTCATCATCGGGCGAGGAGGCACCTCCTCTCAGACCAACGTATGAAGATGGTATTTTGAAATAATATCGCTTCTGAACGTCTTTCCGTCGGTTCGGGAACGGCCTGTTGGTCTTTCCCCGTATGTACTCGTTCAGTCCCCACACTGGTACCTGTTTGCGGTTCTGTATACGTTTTGATGCACAAATGCTGAGTGCGTTCATGTATTTGATTAGGGCAGTGTAACTGTCCTTGCGCACGCGGATCCTAACCTTATTGATCTCAATATACCTATTAGGGTAATACCGTTTCGATGGACTTTTTCCAAGACCCCTCATACAACGAGGTATTCACTTCTCCAGGTCCTTTGATACATGAGATGGCAGATGTCGGTGCGAGATGGTTATTAGGCTCGAGAAGATGTCGACTGCAATCAGTAGCTAATCCGGCGGATTGAGCCTTATAGGGGAGAATCACAGCGAGGAGGGCCATAAGGCGACTAACCACATCGTTTTGAGGCGCAATTGAAATTCGTTTGTGGCGGCGATGTAATGAAAGAGAAGGATACGTGAGATATGGCTAATTTGTAGGTAGCAATGTGCTGCGCTGAGTGACCCGTGTCCTCGTTGCAACCATAATTCATTATTCTGCTGCCTTCGTCGCAACCACAGTTGACCTAGTTGTCACACCCAATGGGCGTATACCTATTGACAAATTAATATATATTACTAGATAACCCTTTTTAGGTTCGAAAGTGGGGGTTCGCTTACAGATATCTTACAGCTACAAGCCCAAGGTTTCAGTATAGGCCCTTCGTCTAATTCATTACCCTGACTTTCAAGTCATTTTTTATACCCGATTCTAGCAGGTTGGGGCGTGGCCCACCATTCTTTCTAAGAAATAACGATTTTATTCGCTAACGGCGGATCGGAGATAATAAACTCAATTCATACGGCATGACGGTAAATGAAGTCGAAATCGACTTTTGACGAAGCTGAGAAATGGCCTAGAACATTGTGGGCTACCTGTCATTAAGGCTTTCTCAAACGTATCCTCAAAGCGTGAGTAGCATAACGGAAACTGGTCGGAGATAACTAAAGAGCTGTTCATAGTAAGATGCGCTCTGTGATCTGCTCTCGGAGTCAGTCATACGTCAACCGTCTGCGAGTGTTTGTGGCCTGCCTGTTCAACCTGAGAGTGCTACTCGGTTAGGCTAGAGTGGAGAAGACCCTGTTTACGATCATATTGCAAACAGATTACTATCCTAGATAATCTTTTGCAATACGATCTTGGTATGTGTGATGTGAAACAGACTCATGTTCCGACTCATCACATGTCTTGCTACATGACTGTTAGTGAACTGTCATTATTGCGATCTGTAGGCGGCAGGCGGATAACGATATATGTGAATTTAAATGCTGTTGGGACGCTGTGTTAGATGAGAAATTATGTGATGTATGAGGCGAAACAACACGGTTCTTTGGCCATGCAGGCCGTAGCAAGCAGAGATCAATTACGCCTGCTTCTGCACACACGAATCAAGGAGGTACTTCCTTCCCATCCCAATCCCAACACTTCCCTCGTCCTTCGACTCCCACTTGCTTGATGACGTCGATAAGTCTTTCAGCAACCCATTCGCGCTCAAATAGCTTTTCCTTTTTGACATTGGCCCAAAAGTCCTTGCTTAAACCGGTCTTGACGGTGCCTGGATGTAAAGCCACTGCCATTGCATTCTCTCCAGACGCAGTACGAAGATGATTATCGAATGTTTTTACTGTTTGATTGACACCCGCTTTAGATGCGCGGTAACTGTACCATCCTCCGAGACGATTGTCACTGATGCTACCAACACGAGCTGACATGATAGCCATCGTAGCTATGCTTGGTAAACCATTCATCTCTTCTTGCTCTCTGTCAACGGTGTGAGACTTTCTTGGCAGGAAGGATGAGAAATGTTTGAGCATCAACATTGGACCCAAAGTATTGGTTCGAAAAGTCAACAGCGCATCATCGGCATTAATCTGGGTAGGCGATTTCTCCGGAAAGAGTATTCCAGGTACTATCAACCCCAGCTGAAGCTGATTCGAGCTGCCGCTGAACTGACTTTTACACGCCGCCGCTGTATCTGCGATTGTCTGTTCATCTTCACCGTCATCAGTGGATGCTTTGGAGTAATTTGGATGCAGTTTCTAGGTACCGAGAACATCTAGTTTTAGAACGTTGAGTCTTTTTTCGTCCACATCAAGACCATCAAGGAGCTCTGCTTTGGTCTTGTCCAAGTCCTTCCGTGCTGTCGCAACGACCGGCGCATTCGTGGTTTGCAAGACCCTTCTCGCGAGCGCAAATCCAATGCCTCGCGAGGCTGGTGATATCAGCGACCATGGTGGCATTGTTGTACGTGTAATGAGCAGACAACAGAGAAGGCCATGACAAGAATATTGTTTGGCTGTTAGTAAGGCTTCTGAAAGGTGGTCCACACACGATCTATGATGCCATACTTGACTCGTCGATCGGCTAGCCTGATTTAGGTAGTAAGCTAGTGCAGGTAATGGCCCTCAGCTACCGATGCGATATGATCATCACAACAACACTTCCAGCTTGTGGAAGTCTTTGCTTTCTAAAAAAACAATCCGATGGTAATCTCTACTTGGAGTATCATCTGTATGCAGACATAAATTTGACATGAGTAGGAAAAGCACGCTACGGAAATATACTCCATCTACATTCATACCTCCAATCTTTGCAACAGAGCTCTCAGGACCCAGTTTTCCGTCTTCGTAGCATCCTCAATCCTCTTCACACCTTTGTATATCTAACCTTCTAGCCGCTTCAATGTCTCGCGCGTATATGACATACTACCTATGCGGTCAAGTTGCTTGAGTACAAGCTTCTTCTGCTCATATGAGAGGTGTCCCGCATCTCTTCTCCGTTGAAGAAGCTCACGCAGTAGGTGAGTACTTTCCGACTGTACGTTCAACGCGTGTATTAGCGGAAAAGAAAACTTGCTCTCGTCCAAATCTTGACAGAATCCCTTCTTCTCGGCATAGTCTTTGGAGCAAAGATTTTGGTAGTCGTCACGAATCTGGTACTGTATCCCGATAAGGCTTACAAGATCTTCAACATCAGATATTATGTGCTTATTGAACTTTTTGCTCGTCGAACAAGTGAGAAGGAGTCGCGTGAGGAGTAGAAACAACCCTCCTGTCTTCTTCTTGACCATTTCCAGGTACTCGTTGTCTGACGGGCACAAGTTGTTCTGTGTCCAGTAAAGGTCATACGATCGTCCGACATGCAATTCGTCAAGCCCTTCGAGGACTATCTCGATAGAATCGAGGCCCAGCTGCCGAGCTTCTTCCACCGCTCTTACCAACTCGTAGCATCCTGAGTTGATAGTCTGTGCAGCACCAAAAACAGCATGCGCTGCTGGCTCACCTCTCCGAAGATTGGACCCGTCTTCGACGTCATCGAGTATGAGGGATGCGGAGTGGAGGCGATTTCCTATTGATTTGACGCGCGATACGGCCAGTGGAGGTACATTGAGCCATATAGCCAATGCGTTTATAAAGACATCTCGTGCACCTCCAGAGGGTAGTGACTTGATGTATTCAACTGGCGCTCTAGCATGCCTAGAGTCCAAGGACGCACTCTTTGGGGAACGAATAACCACCGTCTGCTCGATTTCAGAGCTTGAGGAAGCCGAATCAAGTGATGAGCGCGAGTCACTACTGTCTGATATCGATCCGGTTTCATCAGAGGTAGTAAGACAAGTCTCAGCCGAAGACTTCCGTGAATTGACAATCCTCAAATGAGGATTTATGACGCTCGGTTGATCTGGGTACTCTTCGGCCTTGCGGATAAATCGAGCTTCATAATTAATACCCAGGGCTTCGGGCATTGATTTTGCTGTCAGTTCATCTTCCAGACCGGCGTTTGGAGCGTATCTGGCTTCAGGATGGTATCGAGGGCTGTTCAAACTCCAAACCACATTCCCACTAATCTGGTACTCCAAGGCGTACAGATGTCTGCTCAACTTCTGCGACATGTTCTCATTTTCTCGTCTGTAACGCGTGCAGTTCTCCAGAAACATATCTTCGTTCTGCCGTGTTACGTCCAGTATCACACTTTTCGCGACATCCACGTTCACGTCGTTCCACTGCATATACAACCAGACAGCGTTTGATAATGTTCCCACTTACCCTGAATCTGAGAACTCGAGGTATTCCCGGTCGAAAGAAAGGTAGTCGTTGGCTAGTGTTAGTGCTATGAAGCCTGGTTTGCGGATGGGTTCGAGTTGGGCGTCCTCTTCCTCGGTAAGTGTCACACCCATGCCAAAGAGTAACAATGCCTCTATCACGCTATCGTTGTATCAGTATATATTTGGAAAAATAGCTGAAAGGAGGTGAATATACTCACGACGTTCCGGCATCAATGAGTCGGAAATCCAAGTACTCATCTAAGGAGCCAAATCGTTTTCCCTTTTCACGCAGAATGATAGCAATGGCTTCTTTGAATGTCCTCTTGAATCTTTCCGCGCATGCTTGGTCTACTGATGTGATTTCCTTCATAATCTTTGCTTGTATCTGAGCTCTTCCTAGCGTCGGATTTGTACCCTTCCACTCTTGTTGCTCGGGATGATCAAAGTCATCGTGTTGACCGTCCTGCGGATCAAAAATTCCAAATCAGTATATCGGAAGTTATGAAAAGATTTGCAGGCTATAACATACCATACCTAGCTACTCAAGTTCGATGACACTGTCATGCAGGAATATATCTATGGAATAGTTAGCGAACTGACATTGAAAAGAGAATATCGCAATGTTGTGATGCCATGCACGGAGAGGTGGGCGACATACATTCAAGCACGTAAGCAACTAGTCTCATACGCTCAGGCTTTGTGAGCGGTAAAGCTAGGGCTGAAAAGTTGCCATTGATAGGGCTGCATCCCCCAAACTGCTCGGTAGGCCCGACATACTTGGCCCAATCCAATCTTGCTTCATGGGATCCTGCATTGGCCTCGGCCTCCCAGTTATGTCTTCGCAAAGTGTAGTTCATGCAAAGGCCATCTGTATCATATTTTGAGAGTGGCACGGTGAAGGAAACCGCATCGTCTAGTTGTTGGCTCGAGATATGAGTTGACATTTTGTAAAGAAGGGGGATGGAGAGCGTGATCTGTAAGGCAACTCAGACATTCACATGGTTTTAAATAGTCTTATCGGCTGTGAATATGACATAGCGGCCTAAAGTGACTACTGTACCCCTGCCCACTTGCCATATCTCCTTGGGTTGCCTAACAACCTTGCGAAGGACGGTGCGTGTAAAGTTTCGATCTCTCCCTTCCAAAGTAACACCCAAAATAGATCAGTGAGAATACTAATAATATGTACACTGCAATTTGGAACCAGCACTGTAGGTATATACGTATACCAAGTCTCATGTAAATACAAGCCCGTGTTTGTTTTTCTGTTGATAAAAGCCAGGTGCTGGGTATTCAGCGTGATCTGCTACTATCATTGTCTACGCGCAAACCCTCAAGGACACTCCGAAACAACTATAATGTGCACTGGAGAATTTGCGGACTATTTGCACCTGAAACACTCTACCAGTACAACATGTACCAGAAGCTCGTGTACCAAAACTCAGTGGCGTACACCATTTCAGCCAGCCTCTTTAGTAGTCTCACAGGAGGGCGTTCCGTCGTCTCGCTTAGAAAACGAGAAGAACAAATGGCATTCAAGCTTGAAGGTGTACTAAATACAGCCTAGCAGTGCTTTGCGCGTCTTTCGAGCCTAAAGACAACTAGTCTTGGCTGTGATTCGATCCAGCATTAAACATAGCAGCGGAAGAAGGCTGAAGTAACAGACCGGTGGAGCAGCACACGCACGCTCCGAGATACAGCATGCAGTCTATAGCACAGTGCCTGCGAGATAACAATGAGTTTGACCAACCATTTTCGAGGTCAAATTTGCTCTAGACATTATGAAGCCATCATACCGAGGGTTAACAAGCCACAGGCAAACGAGTTAAGCCCAAATGGATGAAAGTGTAAGATGGGTCATCCATGCTGGAAATTGAGCAAAACGTATGTTCAATGTAGCTACAAATAAAAATCGCGCACAGAAATATAATCGACTCCTATCTTTCTCGCTTTGCATTCTCAGGGAGTGTAGATGTCTGTGGAAATAATGAATGAAAATGTCGCTTCATCAAAATGAAGAGTGCTGCATGTACTGACGCAGCCGAATTTCCAATCAGACATACAAAAATACCTCATAAATGTAAATATAGAGTCAGGTTGGCTTATAAAAATGTCACTCGATGAAGCTGATGATCAATGCGCTGGCAACGACATTGCTCCCTGACATGCGCTACACTGCTGGATCGACGCAGAACACGGGAAGCATAAGCCTCTTTGCTTTTTGGAACATTGAAAGGAAATATAGACGCTAAAAAAAATGAGAAAGTGGATGCATCGAAACTAAGCAGGAGAATTTTGCGATGTGCCAACTATAACTAGTACGCGTACACATTCAATCGCATCTTGGGAAGATGACCTAACTAGCACCGCCACCAACACTACCATTACGTCGAGAAAACTGCCCTTGAACATCATCTGACAGCCAAAAACCCTCTTTCTCTTTTCTCTCCAATCGAAAATTGGTCAGCAAATCTCACTACCGTCCTCGCAAAGCCTATTAGCCATATCACTGCTGATTCGGAAAACGCTCGCAAAGCAACTTTTGTATTATGTATAGGTTATATCCACTTACCAATATACGTAGTACAAAACAACCAGCCAAAGTCACAGAACCAAGTGTTTTACAAAGTAAGCCCAACAGCAACAGACGGGACAGAGGCTGTGCAAGACGTCAGCGCGAACAAGAGAAAACATGTCAGCCTGGGCGGTCATGTTGAAGGACGAAAATTTCGTCCAACCATCATCACCAAGGGCAACAGTGACATAGAAGTTTCCGCCACGCTGGTCGCCTGGAGAAATCATGAAAGCAACATATAAAGAGAGAAAGAGAAAAAAAGAACAAAGAACCAATTCCTCATTCTACTTGCCAAACGCCCAAAGCAACACTCTTCAAATCCCCTCTTCAAGACCCACATATTTCTCCAAGTGAAAGACAAACTCATAACCCTCAAAATGCACCTCCCAACCCCCATCTCCACCCTCCTCCTCCTCGCCACCTCAACCCTAGCCTACGACTCCATCTCCTTCACCACCTGGAACTGCACAGACTGCAGCCCCGTCCCAGGCACCTTCTGCTCCGTCAACACGCGCAGCCAGCTGCCTCCCAACCTGTGCATCCCAATGTGGAACGGAAGCACGTACATTCGGACGTTTGACGCGACGATTCCGTCATGCCAAGGTATGTTCTATCCTTGTATTACGAGTGAGATTTTGGAAAAGGAAGCAAGGATGCTAATGAGGACGGAACAGTGAATCTTTACTTGGAAGATGATTGCACGGGCGCGGCGGAAGTGCATAGGGAGAATGGCGGGAGGTGCGAGACGAAGGGGCCGACGAATTCTTTCCAGATTACTTGCTAGATGGGCATATATCCCTTGTTTCTTGGCGGAAGAGGCTTAATGGGGGGGTGGGCAAAGTTGAATACATGTAACAACAATGGTACTTGTGTGCGAAAACACCGATTCAAGGAGCGAGAAGAGAACCGCTGGATTGCTAGTTCAACACGTAGCATTCGTGGAACCATTCTCGCTACTTGATAAATACTTCTATACTGAAATTTGATAAACGAGGGCGTCTCTAATCCATCTCTTCCCCTCCCGTATATACAATCTCATGCCAATCCCAACCTATGCATTAGCCGTCTTATCATTATAATAATGAATTGTCTGATCTGCACACCCACTCGGCGTCTGATACAAGTAATTGCCCAGGTTAATATACAACTTCTGGCCTGTACATACGTACCACGCGCTCTTGTTCGGCCGTGTGACATCCGTGCTAGTCCACTGCAAGTCGTCGCCGCCCCATGCAAACGTGCCGTACGTGTTCTTGGTCTCGGAAAAGGTGACGGCGAGGGACATGTTGTTGATGACACGCTCGGGGGACACGTTGGCATAGAGGAGTTTGACGGGGGCGCCGGGTGCAGATACGAGCTGCACGAGTTGGCCGGAGACGACTTGGAGTTGGCCGGCGGTGGTGTAGTCGCCGAGGAGGGCGGGGCCAGTGGAGTAGAGCGGGTTGGTTTGGATGTACTTGTGGAAGTTGGGAGCGGCGACGGCGCGGATCCAGTAGTAGCCCGCCTGGAGGGTTGTGCCGGGTCCGGTTCCGCCTGGCACGCTGCTGGCGGCTGGTTCGCTTGGAGTTGAGTTGCTTGGAGCTGATGGGGTCGGCGTCGGTGTCGGTGTGGGACTGGGTGCTGGTGCTGCTCCGGGTTGACATTGGGAGTAGTATTCACTGGACACGGTTAGGAATGGCTAGCATATCTTTTTGCAAATCGATGTACTTTATCTTGACACATCCAGAACCAGAATTGCATGTTGTTTGACCACTCCAACCAATGCCACCGCCTGCGCTGAAGTTAGCCCATATACCAGAATGGATGTAAATAACATACATTGCTGCCAGTCGCCGACAGCGGCAGACGTGGTGCCGGCTAGTAAAGCCAGAAAAGCGGTAGTTGTGTAATGCATCCTAAGCCCTTCAATCACAGGTCAATAGTAATCTAGAGAAACACAAGATATTCCTTGTCCGACACCCGTGAACCATATTGTAGGAACCAACCATGATATTTATACTACAGCACGTTTCATCTGGCTCAAACAAGCACCATGTGATGCCAACTAACAGCGTCCGTACCCTTTAAACATCGGACCGTGGTCGCCGCGTAAAGTGGATAAAGTACCCCCCATGCCCGCAAGACAAGGCCGGAAGCCGAGAAAAATACTGGGTCAGCAATATGCTTGCGCAGGCTTAAATTGCTTGATTAAAAACAATCAAACTTTACTGGCGCATCTTCCGGATCTGGCAATGGCGGATGATGCAGAGTAGAACCTAAGCTAATTTTCCAAAACCGGCTACAATTTAGGTGATTCAAGTTAGCATCCTGTAATCGTATCTGGATGTCACCGAAATTGGAGTGCAGCCTTGGGACCAGGTGCGCGGGTACGGGCGACTACCATCGAGCAGGCCTCTGGTACCGGTCCCGAGAGATGGGTAAGTTTCTCTGACATGGCCGTCAAATCTAGCGCTTCCGTCCGATCAATGCCGCCCCCACGCGATATGCGCATTCGACGTCGATGTAGTTTTCGTCCTGTCGCGTTGCGCTTTGGATGTTCGGTGGCATCTACAGCCACCCACAAAACCCAACAACCAGCACTGCAGAACCTCATCATGACACCTCAGTAACCCCAGTAATCGGCTCTGGCCTCGCAGAAAAAACAACCTTATATCTCACCACCTCCACAATCTCCAGCTCCTCCTCTTTCACCCCTTCACCCTCACCCGCCATACCCCCCATATCCACATCTTCTTCACCATCCTCGCTGACCTTCTTACGCAACACAGCAATCGGATTCGCCAACTTTTTACATTCGCCCGTCATACGTTGGCCCTTGCCAATGTACATGTACACGCGCTTCATCCATTTGGTGTCACTCGGGTCATTGATGTCTGGGTTGTAGTGGGGAAACACGAGTTTGCCGATTTGAGTGGACGGCTGGGAGGAGTCTGTAGGTGCTGGGAAGTGGACTGTGCCTTGGATTTCGAGGAGGGCTAGGCCGGAGGGTGTGTGGAGGATATGGGGGAGAGGGTTTTCGGTGGGAGCTGGTGTTGGCGGGGAAGGGGCGATTTGTATGGGTATTGACGGCATTATGGTGTATTTGTGTAGTAAGTAGATTTGACGATTCGTGTGAATTGGTTGTGTTTGTGATGCGGTGATGGGAGAAACCTTGGCGATACTTTGCAGACGCGACGCGCCAAAGCTTTGGTGGGGCAGATGTGTGGTGGGGTTTGATGACTTCACTACGGAGGTGCCTTTCAAAAGTATTGTCTGACGCTAATCTCGGCGCTTCGGTGCAACTCTTCTTGGCGCAACTCCCACCTTTGAGCTGAGGGGCTGTCTAATCAGTCTACCTACTACTACGTAGCTATCTTTTTTACTATGGCTCCTTATACTGATGTATATACCCGTACCTTAGTAATCGCGTTAAAGTCACCTCCTATTGGCAAAAATACGTCACAAGTCTCTGCGCTA